AGCAAGGGAAAGGGTCTGCTCCAGAGGGCTATGGGGATGGAACAGCAGGCACGGCCCCAGACGGCTGGAGTTCAAGGAGTATTTGGACAACACTCTCAGACACTGGGTTTGGGTTTGATTCCTTTGTGGAACCCGCAGTTGGACATGATAATTCTTGTGGGTTACTTCCCATTTGGGACGTTCTACAGTTCTGTGGAAAAACAAACAAACAAACAAACAAACAATACTCAAAGTTATAGAAATTAACAGCTACTGAATTTCACAAAAAAATGCATTTTCTTTCTTTTTATTTATTTGTAATTCACTAGAAAAAAATCCTGCCTATAGAAAGATGGGTCTGAGAATTTGTGGTGGATACATATACAGCAACACAGAGAGGGCACAACTTGGAGACAGAGAGATCAGGGAATCACAGTCTATCAAGCCAGAAAGACTTCATGAATATTGCAGCCCTAATTGATACCAGAGTTTTCTACTCCTCCCCAGCAACATTTTGAAGTGTTGAGTGCAATGTAAGTTATCCACCAGTTTTGGGCTGCCTCTGAGCAAATAGACAAAACTCATCAACTTCTTCTGGAGGCTGAGAAAATACCTTGCAGGGCCTGGGTTTGTTTTAGAGCTGTCACTTTACATTTGTCTCATCTATTTGTAGCCTTCAGTCTCATAGCTCTTCCAGTTAATGCTTATGCTGGAAGGGTCACAGAGATAATTAATGACCTTTCACTTGCATAAAGAATGCATATAAAGGTTTTTAGAGTTTCTTCACAAAGTTTTAGTTTACAAATTTTCTCTTTTCTTTGTCTGTTTTATCTTCTCATTTCTGCTAACATTCAGGAGTACATTAAGAATTAAGTATAAATATACACGATCTCTTAGAAACCATTTGGGCTGCTATAGACACAGCACCTGGTAAAGTGCTGCCTATAAAAGTAAGCTCCCAAAGTACAGTTTGTTCTATTGTAGATTTGGGGATTTCCGTGTATTTTTCCTCTTTGGTGAAGAAAATGCCTGAGCTTTGCCATTTAATTAAGATTAGATTATGTCTTACAATTATGCCTACTAACCATGTCTCTCAATGCCACATCTCCACATTTTCGGAACACCTCCAGAGTCAGTGACTTCACTACCTCCATGGGCAGCCTATGCCAGTGCATAAACAGTCTTCCTGAGAAGAAATTTTTCCTAATGTTCAACCTGAACCTCTCGTGGTGCAACTTGAGGCCATTCCCTCTAGTCCTATCCCTAGTTACGTGGGAGAAGAGACCAATCCCCACCTCACCATAACCTCCCTTTCAGCTGGTTGTAGAGAGTGATAAGGTCTCCCCTCAGATTCCTCTCCTCTGGACTGAACAATCCCAGTTCCCTCAGTTGTTTCCCATAAGATTTGTGCTCCAGACCCCTCACAGCTTCGCTGCTCTTCTCTGGACACACTCCAGGTCCTCAATGTCTTTCTTGTAATGAGGGACCCAAAACTCAACACAGTACTGGAGGTGTGGCCTCACCAGAGCTGAGTACAGAAGGATGAGCAAATGCACCAAAGGACGGCTTGGAAATGCCCATTTCTCACCCCTGAGAGAGGCACGATGTGCCTCACAGGCAAGTGGTTGCTCCGGCTGCACTCCAAAGTGTTATTTTATGTGTATTAAGCTGGAGCATAGAACCACAAAAATGTTCTGATACATCTTCCAGACAAGGGTAGATCTGTGGTTTGTGGGCTCATAGGAGGAACAGAGTTAGGAACTGGCTCTCTGAGGAAGCAATATGCAGAGGTGCAGATTCAATTCTTACAGGCTGCACTTCCTCAGCAACCAAAGGAATTTCAGACCACTTTTTCAGTGAGCAGCCATTTCAATACCCAATAAAATTATTCACCAACTTTTCCAGGTGTATGTTACTTTTCAGGTATATGTTACATGTACTGCATGTCTCTATGTAATAAGCAAAAATAATTTGTCACTCAAAACTCCAAAGCTTTGAATTTAAAAGTGGCAGATAAAAGACTGAACTTTGCCAAAAGCAATTCCTTTTACTTCAGCCCAGGGGCTGGCCTGTGCAAGCAGGAGCAAACTAAACAGCAGCAACGCTTCTGCACATTTACAGCCTGTTTTCTAAGAAATGATACAAAGAGCTGTGCAGAAGATCTCAGCTGCAGTGCACCAAGGGATTTTTTTTTTTTTTTTTGACGCGAAGCCCATGAATGTTGCTGTGCATTCTGGACTGCCAAATGTTGCTGTGCATTCTGGACTGCCATCTACTGGTGTTTGCTCTGCTTATTGCTTACATAAGTTGTTCCTCAGAGAATCTTTGTAACGGTTTCTGTGTAGCCAGTGGATTTGTGTATACAGACGCTGGGTGCAGTTTGAATGTGAGGCTTTTTCAGAGTGAACAGAGAAATTTGCTCAGAACTGTTTGAAAATGGAATACAAAATGTGTTTAAAGAGCATTTTTTTAGTAGAAAGACCTCATACTGAAAGGGAAAAAAAAGGCAATGCTATGACCTATTTTGTGTAAACATTATGCAGATTAAATCCAGAAGGATAAAAAAACATGCTTTTGACTGCCCTATGTGCTGTTACTACCAACACTTCACCTGACTGATAAAACAGCAAATAATATTTTCAGGATAGAACTATAACTTGTAACACCTAAATCACACCCTTATGGAAAAGCACCCAAGCTCATTTTACAGCCAGACTTCAATGTTTGGTTCAGGGCAGGCAAGGCACAGTTACTTTCACTTACTGGCACTTTCATTCCTGCCCCTAATGTGGGCATTTCATGATCATTCACTACCAGATACGTTACAGCATATCTTGCTTCTGTTCACTTGGTCAGTTAAAAAGGGCTACACAGAGCTATACAATTGAATAAAAAAATAACACTTTAAGCATTTATAAGCCTCCTAACATTGAGTGTAATTAAATCACACTAAAAACAAACAAACAAAACAACGGGGCCATGTTCTTTCGTTTAGATATATTTGAACTCATGCTTGAAGGCTCCCTGAGTGTCTGAGATGCCAGTTGTGAAAGCAATGCATGATTCCTCTTTATGATGAGTGGGGTTATATCTCTGGGTAGTGGGCTGAGGATGAAAAGACAAGAGATGACAAGGCAGCAAAGCCAGGAGAACTCTACAAACGGACTGGAGAAAACCAAGGTGGAAAGAAAGCTTTTGTGATTGCAGTTTCTGAGCCAAGTGCTGACTGGGAAAAAGAGTTGAGGCCCACCAGGCAAGGCTTACCTTACTATAACATCTCCCACATGAATCATCCCCCTGCTTTCCTTTTAACTTCGGCTGAACTTCATCAGAGTAACGAGAAAACAGTCATCAAAACAGCTGTGTAGCTATGCTTTGTGTTTTCAAGTGTAGGTCTCTCTATCTTGCTACCCCTTCCTTCTTGGTGAAATCTAAAATAAATTTCTTGGAAGCACAATCCTTGGGAGATCTGCCAAGAGAAATTGAGTTCTGTGCATGTTAAACCCTGCTGGACAATCACCTTCATCCTCCAAGGGCACCTTAGCAGTTTTAATATACCAGGGCAAATTTCAGTTATCAGAGCAGTCTCAATGGATAAATTTCTCTGATAAGCTTTCTTATCACAAAAAAGAAAAAAAAAAGAAAAAAAAAAAAAAAAAAAAAAAAAAGAAAAAAAAAAAAGAGGAATTTATTCATGAGATTCATATGATTCATATTCATAAGAAGCTTATCATTTAAGAACTCCAGATCCTTAAGAAATCTAGGTTATATCACCAGTCCTGTCACACATTTTCTATGTGGACAAATCACTTAGGAAATTATTCTTCTCTTCTCATCTCCTTCCAGTCTTCCAAAAGTTTGTTAGGCTGTGAAGCAGATTGCTTTTGACTCTGTCTTAAGTGACTTCAGAGGCATATCCATGCCTCCAGGGTGCAATTCATCCCACCCTAATGCAGGAACAGAACATGAAGCAGAACATTTAATTTTGCTTTCCTTGCTAACTGCAGTCCAGAGACTGTTCCCACATTGATTTTTTTTACACATTTTCTTTCACTGTCTTAATCAATGGAGAGAGCTTGGCACCCCTGGAAGTAAGTACATCTCAGTTACCAGACATCTGGTTTGGGAGGGCTGAATCACACTCTAGAGATGCTTCTCTCTATTGATTGCACAGGTTGCCCTAAAGTGTTTCTTCATTCCTGGCAATTTGTACACAATTAGCAGTGGCAAAGTAAATCTCCCATTCACTTCTTTCCATCATGGAGAACCTCACGTTCCTCCACCTCATTCAATGCAAATATGGTGCTTTCACACACATTCTCCATTGTTTCAGTTGATGAAACAAGGATACACTCCCAGGATGAAAAACTTTTGAATGTTAATACTTTTCCAATATCCATGAAAACAACACCTCAGATTTTGATATATTTGCATCTTCTTGTGAAGAACATGGTATTTTCTCATTTTGTACATAAAAAATCATCAAGATACAGTGAAACTAAGTGATTTGTCCATTTAGTTTGACAAAGCACAGATAGATATTTTCAGACCAAATTACGATTGTTTTCATGTTCCAAGTCAACAATTTTCTCCTTTATTGCATACGGAGACAAGTCCATGATTATGGCTTTGTTCAGTAGCCTGTTGAAGCCAAAAGCCTCCTTTTTGCAACTGCAGCAAAAGGTTTAACTCCTTTTGAGTCCTGCTGCACTGATTGATAACACTGAATTTAGCTTTCATGAGTTTCCAAGTGCAAAAAAAGGTGATACATTATCCCACATGGACAGTCATTGGTGCATTATTTCAAAATTTGCACCATAGTAGGGTGATGTTTTCCATGAAACATCTTCTTATATTAAAACATTACATAGACAATTTTAAATATATATTCTTGCAACAACCTTACTATATCATATATTTCCTTCACTTCTTCCTAATATAGTAATCAAAGTATCTCTTTGTTTGTTTTCATTTTTTTTTTTTTTAACTGCAACTTTGCTAATAGAAAGTGTTTTGTACAGGTAATCTGCACTCGATCTGAAGAGTACAACAGCCAACAGGCTTTATGCAACGCCACTACTGAAGGGCCTCTTCTTCGAAATCCTGGAAACAATGACAAATCAAGGACCCCAAGGCTCCCGTCTTCATCAGAAGTTGAATTTTGTCTGTCACTCACTCAGTATGAATCTGGATCCATGGATAAAATGGCCAATTACAGCTTCCGAAACACTTTGGAAGGTAACGCTTCACTCTGCTATGACATTTCTGTCAGTAACCTGATTGTCTCTAGGATTAGAGCTTTTAAATTTTAGATGTTTTTAGCTAATTTCGTTATGCACAACTCATAATTATATAGCATAACATACTATAATGTAAAATAGTATAAATATATATTGTATTATGCCATATATAATTATAAAATAATAATTATTATTAAATAAGTATTATAAATAATACTTACTCCTATCAACATACAGGAAGTACCATGTTAAAAATATTGAAAGCACAGACTAGACCAGACCCTAAATCCATCTATTATGAGACATTGTTTCAACAATAGTTAGTACCAGGCACAGAAATATATCTGCATGAAAACAGATAAAAACAGATAAAAACAGATAATCTAATAACCTACTTTCCCATGATTGCAACCATGTCCATGCAGACTGCAGGATTATCCTGAGTCTGTCTTCCAGGGACTGTGCTGAATGTCAAGGGTGAAAGAAGATGCTGCCACTTGGGTTGTGTATATGCATTCAGCAACTCGTAGTAGCTTCACGCCAGAATCCAAGGATTAAGGATGACATTATACCTTGAACATTAATCATATAATCACAGAATGGTTTGGATTGGAAGAGACCTTTAAGATCATGTAGTTCCAATCTTCTGCTACAAGAAGAGACACCTCCCTCTAGACCAGGTTGCTCACAGTTCCATCCAGCCTGGCCTTGAATGTTCCAGGGAGGGGGCATCCACAACCTCACTGGGCAACCTGTTCCAGTGTCTCATCACTCTCACAGCAAAGAATTTCTTCCTGAAATCTAGTCTACCTTCAGCATCTTTTGCTGAAGTGTTTAGTTATTCATCTCAGTTATCTAATTAGCCAATCCACTATAAAAGTTCCTAATTTGCTGATAAACAAGGATTCTTTTGTAAATAGAATTGTTATTCTTAATTATCTATTGACCCAATCTCTTTCAAAACTTGCTAAATTGCTAGTAAACAAGGCTAGCACATTATAGTTACCAAAAACCATTACTTCCCTGCTGTATTATTTATCTGCTGAATCAAATTGGCCGTATTTTCATTGGTATGCCAGAGATTTTACTTGCAAAGAAGCCACAAGGACCAAAAAATACAGTATAGACTTTGGTGTGAGGATAACAAAGCAAAGCTTTTAATTGTCTGGTATTACTCTTGATGCAGTATGCAATGCCATAACGGGGAAGAAAAAAAAAAGAATCTGTTTCAGTACTAAAAAAAGGTTAAAAAAAGTGAAATATGCATTCTGAAAACAAAAGAAAATAAAGATATTTATTATTGACTCCAGCTCTGAACAGTTTTTGTTGGCAGTTGTGGTTTTTACATTTGAGAAAAAAAAAAAAACAAGTTCAGGAAACAAAAAGGTGGCATAACTTTCTATACATTTTTCTCCACAACATATGTGAATAAATGTGAAGAGTAAAAATGGAAAAGTAGAGAAAAGGGAAATGAAATAAACAAGACAAAAAATCATGAGTCTTGCTGTTAGTATTGTAAACAAAGCCAAAGGCACAGTGTATAGAGCCATAGAATCAAAATGGACCCTTCACTTTCAAAGGCTTAATTTCAGTGTTATGACTACTCATTAAATTGTACCTTGACCTGAGGAAGCACATACCTCTCCCAAAGAGGAAGCCAGGAAGTTATTTAAATTTGAAAACCAGAATCAGGGTTTTTGTCTGATTAATTTACCATTCTTTTCTCTTGCCTCTGTCACATTAATGTCATGGCAGTCATGGCTGATCTTTATTAATATACTAGAGTCATCAGCCAAGCACACTATGAAGAGACCATGTTTTATCTGAACTGTGGCAATGTCTCTACATCCTGAAGAAACTCTTGTAGATCAAATTTTCCTCCAAGTGAGCTTTCCTGTCCTGTGTAACAAATCTCTAGAACTGGAAGAATGTTCATATTTCTACTAAGATTGTGAAGCTCCAGCTTATTATCACTAGGCTAGGCACCAATGAGCTCTCATGGATTTAACGTGATTTAGATAATTCCTCCTATAAACTTGGGACAAAACGACACGTCCTTGAGGATGAACACAAGCCAGATATGATCCAGAAGCTTAGGTAGTTACAGAAGTAGCATATATTATCTTGGACGTAGCGTTGCATGACCTCTGGCTGCATCCATTTAGCCTATAGCCAGGATAGAGTGAATTTATATCTGTTTTTTTTTCAGTCCATCGAGATGTGCATGCATAATAGTCTTTTTAGAGTGCCTGAATGATTCCCCCAATGTAGTTCAAAGAGCGAAGGAGAGAGATGGAGCAATTTTCTGTAGCAATGGGGAAGGCCCTTTGCAAGTGCTAGGATCAATGTGGAGGAAGGCTAAGAGGATGCACTACAGTAAGAAAAAGCTCAGTGGGAACACATTGAGACAATAAATGTCCTGTCCTTGGACATTCCATAGATGTGAAACCAAAAGCAAAACACCAACTCAATACTACAGTTCTCTCTCTACCAGGGGAAATCCTGTTAAGAAAGTAATGTTTGCTGTAGTCCAACTCCCAGTGCCCTTACCATATTGTTTTATAACTTTAATAGCCTAGCTGAAGGAGCTCTATCTACGGTTCTCCAGAGCTGTTATGAAAGAAAATGAAGTTCAATAGAATGCAGAAATTGCTCCTCCTTGTAGCCTGAACTATCTATAAAACCAGCTAGTCCTAAAATCTGTTCGCTGTTTGTTTCATAAAAGGCATTTTTAACTCATTCTCCTGAAAATTATTACAAAAAATTGCTGAAGAATAGGACATTCCTTTCCCATACAACTATCATTACACTCTTTAGTGCTTCCACAATGAAAATTGTTTCAGACCATTGGTTTTAGTTTTTAATTAAGATTCTGCTTCAAGAGCACCTTCAGGTTTTTCTCTGAGTGTATTCCTCATTCTCTTAAAATGCATTAAAATTGAAAAGTAACAGTAATTAAAAAACTGAGAGTTCCAGAATACTACCCAGATCTTGTCCATCAAATTGAGTTACTGCCTTCCTGTCTGCGAAAGTTGAATAGGATATGTAATACAAGACTTCTGAATACTCTGAGAACTTTTCTATTCCAATATGGAGTTAACTTGTTTTAAGACACTTTTTTTTTTTCCCATTGAGATTATTTTTAATCTGAATTATTTCGACACTTAAGTTTACACCTCAGGACCATAAACTTTTCAGTTTATTCAACTAAAGACAGTGAAGTGCAGTACCTCTTCAAAAATACATGCTAAGATTGAAAAACACATTAGGAATTCCTTTACTAAAAAAAAAAAAAAAAAAAAAACAAACCACCACAACCACCACCAACAACAACAAACTCACAATGAATAAATAAAGATACATTTTGGTAGCTCTTTTCTTACAAATGATCTGCTTCACTTTTTGTTACATACAGATGCCAAAATGAGACTGCTAATTTGCTTCCGTTGTGCTGTACTGTAATGGCATTCTCACATATTTGCTAACAGTTCATAGATCCTAGCATTTATTTCCTTCTTTTAAATCCTTCTTTACTGGTTTACCCAAGTTTGTGCTGATACAACTAAGGTCAAATTCTAATTTCTTCTAGATCCAAAGTAAATCCAAAGTAACTCCCTTTACTTAGTGGTGCTACTTTAGATTTACAAAAGATGAGCAGAACCAAGCTAATGATTCTAATGGAGTGGCTCTTGATTTACACCCATGTGAGATTTACTCCTCAACTTTAGTTCTGTAACGGAAAACAGCTGTGATCACTTATAAGATGAAACCAGAGTATTCCAGATTTAGACATCATGCACTTCTGGACAAAACTTCATGCCCTTCCATGTCTGAGCATCCATGTGAACTGGAATAAGCACATTTTGACCATCTAAGAGGTAGTCATCAGCACCACACTGAATCCATGTTTGCCTGAGAGATAACACTGCTATGCAGACACGACTGATGTCAATTATGAGTAACCACAACAAATATGATCAGCTAAGGTCAATATAGTCTGTTAAAACAACCACCTAGTAGAACTGTACACTCAGGATGTCCTCTTACTCTGAAACAGTAGTTTCTACTTTGAAAAACAGTGGATTAAAAGCAGATGGCATATTTTTCCTTGGAGGTAAATATTTTACTTAGGATTTGTTGAACAAAGGTCCTAACTGGAAAACACTACTGACTTCATCAGACGCATCTTGGATGCAAGAGGAGTTCAGAAAATCAGTTGATATTATAAGCCATAGGTGAGGATCAGCTGACTGTAAATTAAGATTTAGGCTTCTTTGTGTAGGTCAGCTTTAATGTGACACGTTCTAAGAATTAGAGGTAGTCAAAAAAATACTTTTTTTCCACATGTAAGATGAGTATATTCATGGCAATTTCAAATGAAAATCAGTGCCTCTTAAATTTTCCACAAATGGACAAAATAATATTCTTCAGATTCTAAAACTCTATATCACTTTGATTATTCATGAATTAACTCAGGACATATAGTATCAAGTGCCATAGCAGTCCGTTGTCTGACACAATTATGTATTGTTACTCTTGTCCTGTCATGAAATAATGGAACAGAACATCAAGCACTTCAAAATGTAATTTCAGTTTAATAGAACATCCTGTAAGATCCTATCCCGTGAGATATTTTCATCTAGAAAACTTTTCTCAGTATTCTCACTGTAATCCATATAGCTAACAAAAAATGGTTTCTCAAAATGAAGTTTTCCAGCAGAAAACTTCTAATTAAAAAAGTTTTAGCCTACAGCCAACATCTCTCATCCGGCTTAAATTCTCAACCTCTGAGTAAAGTTGGGCTGCACATTGAGAAAGTGCTGTCAAGTCACAGAGGGTCCTGAACAGATAACCAGAAAGACTGTTCATCTCAGATCACAGTGAAGTTCTACAAGAATCATTATAAGTAAAAACCCTAGATGGTGGTATGGTCTAAATTAGATAATCACAAACTTTCATTTGCTACAGCCCTTTAGGCCAAATTCTGCAGATCTTGCAGTTGCTTCACTTTAGAGTGGTTACAATAATAACATTGCTTGAGAAAATACGTTTCCAATGGATGAAAGTCTCCACCACTGTAAGTCAGAAGAACACCACTAGCTTCAAAGACCTATAAGGATATGGCCTTAAAATTTTTATATCTGTATCTTCTTTCCTGTTTTATGGCATGTGCATCTGTCTGTCCTGAGCTTCACTCAAATGTAGAAACCTTATTAAAGTGTCATCCCTGTCCAGAGTGGCACTATGTGTATCAGTCAGCTGCACTTGGATATGCAATATGCAGAGCAGAATTTGGCCTTTAAAGTCCCTGATGCCCCAATAACAGGCCTAGAAAGTCATACAAAACTAAATTCTACTTTTTAAGAAAGTTTTGAGGTTTAAAAACAAAACAACAATAAATATTTCACAGACATCAGTAGTATCACAGAGGTTAGGCAGTCCATTAAAATAATCAGAGGAGGAAGGACTTCTGGAATGGTTCATCCATTTCTGTAGCACTGAAGGCTTCTAATGCTCTCCAAGGTCTGCATACCCTTCACTAAACATACTTACAGCACTTCAGACAGTGGCAAATGAGCACTTGAGGGAAACAGTACCTGCTTGAAATACATAATGTTTGATAGATTATACAGGAACGTCTGTGGACTCTGACATTAGACAGTAAAATCTAAAGTTAGTATAGTTAAATTCTCTATTAAAAGACATATACTTAACTTACTGCATTTTTAATGAGAACCACCTATATATCATCCTAAAAGAGTTAGGCAGCCTTAATTGTGAGTGACATGATTAGCTCCTCCTATAATAAACTTTGGGCTAAATTCTCATCTGATTTAATTTAGCCTGGTTCTATTGAAGCTGCTTCAACTTCATTGAATCATTGTTACTGATCTACAAGGTTATAAGTAGGAGCAGAATCACATTTATAATCACTTACAAATATGATCCTTCTCTCACTAAAATCACTGGTAACACCTCAAGTCTCTTCAGTGATATATGCCCTACTGGCTATTTCTAATACACCATAATTAAATGAGAATGTAGAAGGATGTCTGAGTGATTCAGCTTTCTATACTGGCTGGATGATTTAATAGCTCACTACCACCTAATTCTCTGTGCAATTTCCTCAGTCCTCTAGCCAGTCACTCTCACCACCTTTCGGTACTGAGAATCATTGCATAAGATACTGCATGAGTATTCTGTCAGTTCAGTGAGTTAACTCAGTTCACAGAAGGGTTAAGAACAGTTGCATTCAGTACATGGGAGAGGATGGGCACACACACCATAATGCAAAACAGGTGGAAGGATCTGCCTTTTTCACAGGCAGTGATATCAGTTTGCCTGAAAGAAAAGATTAATATCCAGACAAATAAAATGAATTAATATCAAACTACAGTTTTATTCCTGCTAGCTTTAATGTTTTTATGGACTTTCCTAACTTCTCATGGTGCACCTTTGAGAATGACTGAATGCACCCCAATTAACTGGGAGATGGGATGTTGGGGTTATTAAAAGCATCCCAGTTACTTGTGAGCATATGATCATTGCAATAAATTGCTGAAGTTCATGAGTTTCATGAAAGTTGACTAGAGCCAGAATGTTCTGTATATTTTTTTCTAAAATATTAGATAAAGTATTTGCAGTGCATTAAGAAATTTTTGAAAGTATCTAATGTCTGATACGAAACATACAATCATAGAACGGCTTAGGTTGGAAAGAACCTTAAAGATCATCAAAATCAAGTTGGAAGTTGGAAGCTGATGATCTCTGGAGTCCCTCGCAGTTAGTTTGGAAGGGACCCCAAGGATCATCAAGTTCCAACTTGAGCTTGATGATCTTTAAGGTCCTTTCCAACCTATGCCATTCTATGATTCTATGATCAAATTCTAGGATCTATGATCAAATTCTATGATCAACCCTGCAATGGGTTGCCAACCACTAGATCTGTCCTTCTGCCTAGACCCTGCACAAGTCTATCTTACCTTCAGTATATTATAATGCAGCTGAATATAAGTAAAAGAGTAGTTTCAGAATGATATACATATGTATCTTTTTCAGTTAAGATTCACAGAGATTCCCTGGTAAGGAGTATTGCTAAATCAACTAACTCCACTCCAGTGGTCACACACTATGGCTACCTGTAAGGAAGGCCAAAATTGTTGCAATCAATTCCTATCAATTCTAGTCAAAATGTCAACATGCATTATTCTTCACAGAACCTTTAGAAATATATTTTATTCTGTTTTATTTTTTAATTTTTTTTTTTTGCTAGGTGGCAGCTAGGTAGTATAACATTCCCTATCAGACAACTTCCTGTGGGCAAGATTTTCCCTTTGAGAAATTCTGCCCATGTTTATACTCCCATGCATCATCTTCAATAATCCTGTTCCACTTTGGATGTACTTGACACTTTCAGTTATCTGTAAGCATTAACATGATTGTTGCTCTCTCCTAAATCCAGATTTACCTTACCTTGAAGTCTTTTCATCATCAGCCGACTCTACTTCTTCCAACTCTCCTGATTATGTTTTCTTCTCTGAATTACTTCGAATTTCTTGAAATGTTTTTCATAATATTGCCATGAAAAAGATAGACAGTTATTATTATATATTGATTCTTGGGTGTCACAGGGTGTATTTGACCCTTAGTGTAATAGATAGGCTTCATTTAGTATATAGTGTAGTATTGAAAAATGCTGCCCTGAGATACAGTGGATCCCCATCCCTGGAAGCATTCAAGGTCAGACTGGACAAGGCTCTGAGGAACCTGATCAAGCTGTAGGTGTCTGTTCATTGCAGGGGGTTGGACTAAATGGCCTTTAAAAATCCTTTCTCACTCACATGCTTCTACGATTCTATGAAAATTCTCCAGACTTTTCACCAAAAGATTCTGCTTGAAGAGGTTGCTAGACAAGGCAAAGCCTCATAAGGGAATTTAGAAGCACGAAGAGGTGAAAATAGCCCACCAGCAGATCATTCTCAGTGGTGTCTAATAGTTAAGTTTCCAAACTGACAGAATGTTATTTAGTAATAAAACATCAATGGCCACGTGTCAATCAATACCTTCTGTGAATCAAGAATTTCCCAGAGAATTTTCTCTTTTTCCCATCTTTGATAAAATGTGACAATATTGGGAAAACACAGAGCAGCAGCACAATATGCATACTGCTCAAAGCCCTTTTTATTGGATTATTGATTTTTTAAGATGTTTCAATATCCCTACATTATGTTTTCTCATCCTACAACATACAGAAATTGTGATAATATGACACCTCTGTGAACCAAATCAGAGATGGCAGTAGGGCTTAGCATCAGGTTAAGATGTTTTCTTGCAGAAAACCAGAGAAGTTCCACGTGGTTTAGCTGACTTTGATTTTGAGTCCTTAAAATTAGGGAGGAGGCTTGTCTGTTACGATGCTCAGAAAAGGTTACCAGCACCAAAGCTGGTGTGTGGGGAGGCTACCACACCAGATCAGAAATTCAGGGTTCGCTCTGTGTGACCTACTTGTAAAGCCTGTATTCTAGGAGAAATTCGAAATAACAGCAGTCCACAGACTTTCATGCTCAAGAGGGAAGGTGAAAGAAGATCATCAATTGATTATTAACCACATACACATGCATTAATATTTTACTAATTATTTACAAACCCCTTTTGTGAAGATAATAGCATTTATTGCATTGTCTCCTTCGAATTAAAGAATGAGTTCTGTAGAGATAAGTGATATTAAATGGTTGCATATATGATGAGATACACTAGCCTGTTGTACCTTAGAAATACCTAAGGATAGAGAAAAAAATGAAAAGAAAAAAAAAGATTAAGTTTAATGTGAATAAACATACATGCATAAACACCTGCAGGAATTAGGTTTCCTTTTTACAGTCACACAGGATGGATGTAGAAATTTAAAAATATAAACCAATTAAGCAGTACATTTGCTGACATGCTGCATTAGCTACATGGCAGGAGTTTTAATTTAGCTTACTCTAATTTCATCTTTGCTATGCCTTTGGAATTTATTAATACTCCTTTACATGTTTTCTGAAGCTCTTGTCTAAAATGCTGAAAGTAAATGAGTTGAAATTAGGTGCTTTGATCTTCAGTGTTTCTGGTGAAAGAATTCTCTGCACTGTAGTATCAGCATGTGATTTTCTCTGGAATACACAGGCTTTGCTGATCCACACACTGCGATATCAAACATATCTCAAAGTGGTTTGCATAATGCCCTTCACATCTTCATGAATGGCTCCATGTCCCAAGTACAAGGCTCTGCGAATGATCCTATCTTCGTCCTACACCATGCTTTTGTTGACAGGTGAGTTTAATTCTTCTTGGTAAACCTAATTTATTTTGTGTTTCTACAGTGCAGTTTTCACTTACGCTTCAAAGCTGCAAATATTTTACACGCACAGCATTTTCAGACATATAAAATCATCTTAGCTATTATTTGAGAGCAAGTGTCTCTCCTGACCTGTCTTTACATTCATTGGATTAAGCATCATTTGAAAAGTTGACAAATGTAATCAGCTTTTATTACCAAGGTAAAAATAGTCCTTCAATGATGTCATAGTAATTGATATATATGGATGTGTATGTCAAGAAGTTTGGACTGAAAGTGTATGACTCATTTTAACAAGACTATAATCAGTTGGAGTAATTCCTTAATATTCTAAATGTCAGTGCTCTTTTAATTTCTATTCCATAAGGAAAACCCAAGTGTACAATCCATAAAGAATAACAAATTGGTATTTCAGTGTGACAAACAAAATTGTGACTGTCTCTTGCTGAAAGAGAAGACTACAGCTGTGCAGGTGGAAAGAGAAGCAAACAGAAAGGTGCCATGTTTATTAATAAGAGACGGTAGGGGAACACAGCTCTGCAAGAAGAGATTGAAATTACTATGGAAAGGAGGACATTCCAAGATCTGATGGTGACCTTAACATTTTCTGTATGTCGCTACAAAGTATGTGAATGGCTACAATTTTCTGTGTACTGTACTACACATAACTGTGAAAACTGAAGAGCAATAAAAAAGAAATACAAACTGCAAAATCCATACAAAAAAAAAATCTTTAAAAATATGTGAAAAGATTCTTCTAAGTCAGGTGGCTGCCTGGATAATTTCGAGCAGCAGTAATGAAAAAAGGACATTCTTTTCAGACCCTTTTATATCTGTCCTGTGCACCCTATGAGGGCAGCAGTGAAACCCCCATTTAAAATACATAATGCAACTGCAACAAACAAAAGGAAGACAGATTGACATTAGTCCAAAATCTAGACCCAGAAAAGTACTTCAATTTATTTCATTTTTTAACTAGCAGCACTCCTTTTCTTCAAAACCTCGAGCTGTTCTCCTAGAAAAAGATTCTTGTATGTGTGGAAGATTGGCTTGTTCCAACCCTTCCTTTTTGACTCATCCTGCATTTACTAAATCACTCCATCAAGTAACTACATCATGAGGTTGTGTGTTACTTGACTTGTCTTTCCAACCTTCTTTTACTCTCCCACTGTGCGCTGACCATGACTTGGCAACGGCAATACTTAGATTAATGATGACTCAAGACAAACTCTTGTGAGTCTTTCATGAACACGTGTGCTCAGAACTCTACTGATTGAGCCCCTGCCTGCAGGATGATAGACAGACATTCAACCAAAAACCAAAATGGTTTCTTTATCCAGGTTTCCAAGACGCAGCACAAAAGGGATGCAGATTATATTCTCAAGACATCATCTTGCAGTGAACTTCTTTAGTTCTAGACAGTTTGTACTAACACACATAAAACTTTATCATACTTAAACAAAAGGCTGTATAAATGGAAGATAAAGTTGTTTGTGTTTTCTACTCAGGTTACATAATTAATGAACCTAATGGCTGTGTTCTTCATTGTTTATCCAGTCAAAAACAGACATCAAGTCTAGGCAGGTCACTGAGGCATCACTGGATTAGTTCCTTTGTAGGGTGACCCTGCTTTGTTCTACTCCTAATATGTAGGTTGTAACTAGACTTCTGGAAGTGTCAGTTTTGAAACTTTGCCAAAAACTTTCCTCAGAACATTTTAAAAGTTAAACAGCATAACTTAGCTATGATTTAGTATATCCGCCCATTGACTGCTTTACAAGGTGGATGCACCCTGGGTTTCAGGTGCAGTTACAAATTTCAAGTTTGGCACCTGGAAATTAACTTTCCAGTGTCTAGGTTTTAAAAATGGCTTAGTTGAACACTCAGAGAAAGGGAACACAGAAGGGAACACATTATGCTCTGCAATATCAAAAGACATTGTTTTCCTTAGACATTCACACTTGTATAAGACCTACGCATCTCTTAGCTCCCACGCAGTGCAGAGCTTAAGTAGTACCTTGGCCTTCATGCTGACCCCTCCCGCAGAGGAACTTCAGTTATAGTCATTATAAGGCCCTGGAAATACTTTTCATAACCGCAATTGTCATCCATTTTAGAAGGCAATATTATTTGCAAAAGATAACATCATTAAATCCTACTGGTACCAAGGAAGTAAATCACTGCACCAGCACTGTGGGGACAATGCAGAAATCCATGATGCAACCTCATCTTATCTGTGGCAGAAAGAACTC